GAATGCATTAGGCAGTGATGTGGTGGAGGCTGACTCCATACACAGTTTCAAATGTAGATATGATAGAGCCCAGTAGGCTCAGGAATCAGTAAACCGGTTGATTGACAGTTGAGAGGCGGGACTAAAGAGTCGAAACTCAAGAGATATTACATTAAACGGCCGGCAACAGATCACAGAGTGAAATAAACACTTGAGTATGCATCACCGGCATGGAACTCCTTCGTAAAATAAACTCAAAGTCTAAATATATGCAACAAGTCTCATTGTTGAAATGGGATCGATCGAGATGTTAAGAATAACTGATGTTCTATGATACTTTATCTCTCCAAGTTACAAGTCACCATACGCACCATTCTCTTCAACACACACCATCACTTAACCCACATACACAGATACCATCACTACATCAAGACACAATATCATTAAATGATCATCAACACGCATATACAGTCACTGTAGCACTATAGGACATGCACATTAATACATCACCATCACAATATCCTACCAGACACGCTGCCATCACTACACCCTCACCATCACAGACACTATTACCAATCACCCCCCCCCCAAGTACACATACACACACACACTCACCATCTTTAGTGCCACACAACATGCAAACACCATCACACACCCTCACCATCCACACAAACAATATATGGTGAAACACGCACACCAACACCATCACCAACACAATCCACGTATACACACAATACACATACACCACAAACATACAAACACATTACAATTATTGACCCACCAACATAGGCTACATAGCATCATAAACACTAGATAATAGTCAGTCAATAACCCCCCCCCCAACACAATCAGCAGTCACCCCATAATAACAACAGTTACCATACAATCACCACAATTACCATATTCCAGCGCATTCACCAGCTCCACCAACACACGCTAACAATCACCTACACCATTGCCCCAACACAATCAACACCCATACGCCAATATAATCACCAACCATCAATACACACAATAGCCACCATCACTGCACACACCAACACAATCACCAACTACAATCAACACACAAACACCACACCTACACAATCCCCAACCATCACCATACCTACACAATCCCTAGCCATCACCACACCTACACAATCACCACCCACTATCTCCAAAAGATTGGTATGAAACCCCCTCATCATCACACACACACTAGCACAATACACACTGGTGACATATACTGAGTGCACAATACACACACTGCGTGCACAATACACACACTGCACTATATGTAGGAGAAAAGGTGTTTAACCCTGCCCACGGAGAGCTGAAGAAAACACATATAGACTGGTTAGTATTAACCAGCATGTGTAAGGTAGCAATTAAACAATCCACTGGCACTACATACACTCTGGCACCACATACACTCTGGCACCACACACACACACTGGCACCACATACACTCTGGCACCACACACACTATAAACAGGATCCCAAGCACCGTAACTACATTACTCAATGAGCATTTTCCTATATACTGCAAGATCAAAAAATTGTCACCTCACTGTACACTGTAACATCTGGTCACAATATCTAGTTCACTATACACTGTAACCTCATATCTCCCTTACAAGAAATTTGTAAGATATCTTTGCAAAACACTATTACACAACCTCCTGATTAAACAACACTATCACAAAGCATCGTCACCATATGCCTTCTAGGATCTTCACCATACCATGATGGGGGGGGGGCCTTACCAGACACCATCATCACCATACATTAAAATCCCCAATAACCAAATTCCCCATAGCATCACCATATCAATCACATTTCCACTGTAACTAGGCACCATAATAACCCGACATCACACACTGCCGTAACTTCACCATTTAATCACAGTCACCATCATCCCCCTTTAAAGAGTCGTGTAGTCACACCATCAACAGCTAACCATTCACTATTACCAGACAAATAAAAAAACAATGTCTTACATCAGCAAAAACTGTTGAGTGTACGAGAGATTTCCTCACCATACAGAGTCCTGCACAGTTAATATAGGTCACTACAGGTCACTATAACCACGTCAACACAGATCACTACAAGCGAACTACCCAAAGTCACTACAATCAAACCATCGCAGGTCACTACAGCCAAGTTACCGTAAGTAATAAGTCAAAATAGGTCATAACAGTTACTACAGGTCACCATAAGTCACCATCATACACCATCACTGGACACCATACTTGCTAGTGCCTATACACCACATAAACGACAATAACGACAATATCAAATGAAGATAGACAGCATAACCACTCACCATCATCACTACACAGTATCGGCACAGAGCACCACGAATACACCATCGTCACCATATACCATCGTCACCATACACCATCTTCACCATACACTAACCACAGCAGCAGGAGCTAGCAATTCACCATAAAAAAACCTGTCACCATATAATACTCACGATCACTATCACAAAAGTGGCCATTAATAATTCACCATTTCCCCCCAAGACATCACCGCTAGTCTTAAGCATTTCACCATCAAACAGTGTCACCATACATCATATTTACGAGAAAGAGAGAGAGAGGAAGGTATTTTATACTGAATCTTTATATATATTATATATTTCATTTTATGGTTAAATGTTTTTGGAGAGGAGAGAGAGAGAGAGAGAGAGAGAGGAGAGAGGAGGGAGAGAGAGAGAGAGAGAGAGAGAGAGAGAGAGAGGAGAGAGAGAGAGAGAGAGAGAGAGAGAGAGAGAGAGAGAGAGAGAGAGAGAGAGAGAGAGAGAGAGAGAGAGAGAGAGAGAGAGAGAGAGAGAGAGAGACAGAGAGAGAGAGAGAGAGAGAGAGAGAGAGAGAGAGAGAGAGAGAGAGAGAGAGAGAGAGAGAGAGAGAGAGAGAGAGAGAGAGAGAGAGAGAGACAGAGACAGAGAGACAGACAGACAGACAGACAGACAGACACAGACAAAGCTGTTCAACACCCCACAATCAGCTTGCTAATTTGTTCTCGGCAAACAACTTGAGAGTTCAATTGCCACATTATATATATATAATGATTTCCTTCTGTTGCAAAAATATATGTATTAGAAAGCCTCGCATCAGTTTGAACTTTTCCTCCCTACAAAATAATTGCGTTGATTTGTTCATTGATTTTTTTGGGGCAAGCAATGAACAAATTGATTTTTTTTCCATTGTTCATATTTTAGTTCTTCCTAAATATAGAATTAATTACATTTTTAACCCTTATTATATAGATTTTGTCCAATCCATTACATATCTAATTTCAATTCCCCCTATTAGGTGTCTATTTTCCAATTACCTCCATTACACTGTTGCTGTGAAACATGGCGTCAGTGTAATAGAATCTGTCACTGTTTCATTAAGGTGTCACAGTCACTCACTGCTTCATCAAGATGTCACAGTCAGTCACTGCTACATCAAGGTGTCACAGTCAGTCACTGCTTCATCAAGGTGTCACAGTCAGTCACTGCTTCATCAAGGTGTCACAATCAGTCACTACTACATCAAGGTGTCACAGTCAGTCACTGCTACATCATGGTGTCACAGTCAGTCACTGCTTCATCAAGGTGTCACAGTCACTGCTTCAACAAGGTGTCACAGTCACTGCTTCAACAAGGTGTCACAGTCAGTCACTGCTTCATCAAGGTGTCACGGTCACTGCTTCATCAAGGTGTCACAGTCACTGCTTCAACAAGGTGTCACAGTCAGTCACTGCTTCATCAAGGTGTCACGGTCACTGCTTCATCAAGGTGTCACAGTCACTGCTTCAACAAGGTGTCACAGTCAGTCACTGCTTCATCAAGGTGTCACGGTCACTGCTTCATCAAGGTGTCACAGTCACTGCTTCAACATGGTGTCACAGTCAGTCACTGCTTCATCAAGGTGTCACGGTCACTGCTTCATCAAGGTGTCACAGTCACTGCTTCAACAAGGTGTCACAGTCAGTCACTGCTTCATCAAGGTGTCACGGTCACTGCTTCATCAAGGTGTCACAGTCACTGACTGCTACATCAATGTGTCACAGTCACTGACTGCTTCATCAAGATGTCACAGTCAGTCACTGCTTCATCAATGTGTCACAGTCACTGACTGCTACATCAATGTGTCACAGTCACTGACTGCTTCATCAAGGTGTCACAGTCACTGACTGCTTCATCAAGATGTCACAGTCAGTCACTGCTTCATCAAGGTGTCACAGTCAGTCACTGCTTCATCAAGATGTCACAGTCACTGCTTCATCAATGTGTCACAGTCACTGCTTCATCAAGGTGTCACAGTCAGTCACTGTTCCAACCTCACCATCACTGCTATAATGTCTACAGTGTACACCACATTTAAATACACCATTAATTTTGACGTGAGTGAGTATAGTGAGATAAAAGCCGGCGACAGTGAAGAGGTCTTCCTCCACACACAAAAAAGTAGATTTTATGATATAATTTTAAACTTTTGTGTTTTCATTATATTCACAGTTTTTTTAATCGCTTTCTTTTGTTTTTATTAGGGGATGTCACGCTATATTTTCTTGAGGTATAATATGGGTAATATTTCTGGACTTTGGTAAAAGTGATATTGAATTGACAGGTGAGGTCTCGATACGACGAATTGTGGGATATTTCACGTCGTTCTCTAGAAACATTATCCAAACGTCACGAAACATGTACAACACGACAGATGTTCTCTAAGGAATAAAATGTTTTCTTTAGCTAACACACACACAACACATCCTAACACACCACACAACACTTCTTCACCTCTGTCGTTAATATTGACTGGTGAGGCTACCACACACCACACAGCACTGGCGACAACTTGAGTCCAAATGACGGTATAGTGAAGTGATAGTGTGAGAGAGACGAGAGATCGAGTCAGTGGAGTCCTTTGGTTTATAACCGGCAGGGGGAAGATGGCGCCCAGCGACACACTATCCCCCACCTAAACACACACACTCAGGCGGCGTGTGAGTGCATGTGTGAGTGTCTCACTGTACTCTGGCCTTACCTGACAGCCGGAGCACGTCTGGGTGATGGAATAGTGGCTCTCGCAGTTGTATTTGGCGAGGAGAGACTGGTGCTGGTGGAGGACTCGGCCCACAATGCTGTCCATGTCCTGTAGGTGTCGCGCCACCGTCGAGCACTCGGCTAACTTCACGTCAGTGACACTCTTAACCTGCTCCTGACACATGACTGAGTGCAGGGCCATGTGCGGGCAGAACCGCAACGTCACTTTCCGTATGATTTCTTCACGCTTCTCCCCGTCTTTAGTGGAGCACAGTGCCTCGGGCAGTGTCGGGCACTTCCTCCCCTGATGGCACTCCTTGTTTTCCGGACTACACGTCTGGCACTTGTCTTCTAGTGTCTGGTTAGTTAGGCTCTCCAGGCTGTAAGAATCCAGAGGTGCCACCACGGCACACTGCCTCAAGCCCTCGCGGTGCTGGGGTGCGGACAGTGCCGCCACCAGGGCGGGGAAGTGACGGTTATTGTGGGTGTGTTGATGGGTGTGGTGTATGGCGGTGGGCGGCGTGGGCGTGTAGGCTAGTGTGGGCGTGTTAGTGTGAGGCCTGTGGGTGGTGGCGAGGGCGAGGGAGAGCAGGAGAGGAGGCAGGAGGAGGGCGATGGGGGCAGGTCGCCAGGGGGACCGCGGACAGTGCCAAGGGGACCGTGGACAGTGCCAGGGGGGCCGCGGACAGTGCCGACACACCATAACCCCTGCCCGTCCCTGACCCACAGCGCATAGTTACCGACGACACTCAAGGGGGCCTCGCGGGCGGCGGGGGCGGGGGGCCAGAGTGCGCCCACCACAGCAGCGGGTCATGGGCGGCGTGGGCGGCCCCGGGTCACACTATGCCGTGGGCGTTCTGGCGTGGTAGGTGGGCGTGGAGCGTGCGGTGGGGTGGGTGGTGGGTGGAGGGGTGGGTGGTGGTGGGTTGCTGCAGAGAGCGGTGTGGAGAGTGCGGTGCCGGGCTGTGGGCGAGCCGGCTCCGTCACTGCATCATGCCGGGACCATACTGAGCCTCCCTCACTACTCCAACACCAGACACCACAATCAATACTGCCACCCACCATGCGCACACTCCCCACTCCCCGCACCCCACTCGGAGGAGGGGGGGGGGAGGGGGGTACTCGCACTCACTCTCCGCACCCCACTCAGGGAGCGGGGGTTATTCACACTCACTCTCCGCAACTCACTTGAGGGGGCACTCACTCACTCTCCGCACCCCACTCACTCTCCGCATCCCACTCAGGGGTGGGGGGGGGAGGGACACTCGCACTCACTATGCACCCAACTTGGGGTTGAAAGCACTCGCACTCTCCTACACCCTACTCGGAAGGGCTGGGGGTACTCACATTCACTCTGCATCCCACTTGGGGGCGGCACACACACTCTCTGCACCCCACTCAGGGGGCACACCTGCACTCATTTTCCACATCCCATTCGGCGGGGGGAGCATTAACACTCCACTCAGGAGGGCACTTACATTAACTCTATGTCTCTCTCTCTCTTTGTATCTGTCTGTCTCTGTGTATTTTCTTGTATGTCTCTGTTTCCGTCTCTTTTTGTTCCAGGTTGTAGGCTATGTGGACAGGTTTGCAATGCGTCGACACGTTTGCAATGGGGAGGGTGTATGGCAAGCAAGACTATCAAGAGACAATGGGAGAGCAGGTATGGGGTAAATGCAATGGATGGTAGACCTGATGTCCATGGAATCATGAATAAATTACAGGGCAATGTCTGATAGACTTTTTCTTTAATTTTGCAGATGTCAGTGTCTAGTGTTTTACAATGGTGTTAGGAAAACGGGGAACAAAAATTCAGTCGTGTTAATATAATCCTTCAAGATTTGCCATTAGGGGTCACTTTGGCCCGATGTCGAGTGGCACCCATTTCATTTATGCCAACCTGACCTACTGATGCTGGCCTTGTATCCAAGAGAAATTAGTGCCTGGCATGACTAGTCACTAGAGACTAGCAAGGCTAATCTTAAGCATTTCACCTCTAATCTAAGACCAGACATTCCAATTTATAAATTTTTATATTCAGGATTAGTTAATGATATACCCCAGCAATTGGCACATAATGTTCGTAAACTTTGATTACGACATAAACCTAATCTTTCTTAACCTATTTTTCTGATTATACATTAACAAATCAGCCTCGCAAACAAAAGAATAGAGAAGAATAAGAGTATAAGAATAACAAAAACAGAAGCTTAACTTAACCTCACCTTGGCTAAGAAATTTATTGAAATACAGATAATAAATTGTACTTACTGAATAGCATGGTGTTTATATGCAAATAGTTGTACGCTATTGTGAATGTAATGGGGACTATTACATCCTCAATTCATTGTGGCAAGGGGGGAGATATGTATTACCCTTTCAAAAGGGAGTACACTGGTATGGGAAAAGTGGTTGCTGGGAAAGGAAGGGAGAATGCTTTATCCTTGTTAAGGGGAAGACAGGTGAAGAAGGGTGACCACACTCATTCAGAATAGGATAAATGGAAGAGGCTTTATACGTTCAAAGGGGAAGACAGAGGATAGTTAAACCCATTTAAAGAAGACACTTAGGAGGAAACAAGGGGTTAAAGAGGGAAAAAATGGGGGTTTCTGCCACAATTAATTTATAGACTTGCGGGGTATTTCACCATATTAATTTATCTCAACTAATGATAATATCTAACCAGTTATTCAGCGAGTGCCTTTTACTCTCTCGCATCTAAAAATGTTACAATAAGGCAAGATGGATAACACGCAGAAATGTTACATATTTATCTTGATCAATCGACACATTAACCAAACATTCCAATCCATTACTGGCTTAGTCCTTCTTCCCGGCATATATAACTTTACTAAGTCACTATTTGACTTTCCAAAGATGCCAACATGAGTTTATTCTCTAATAGAAATTTTAATTGTTACACAAGTATGTATACCTGACATTATGGACACCTTGTACACTCAACACTGAACCTTACACCCATAACTCTTCTACAAACCTGACACCATCCTCCCCCCCCCCCCCCGCCCTCCAACAGAAACACAATCACCTTCAACTACACAATCACCAGAGGTAGACGCTCATCACAACCGTTGAAGGGTTATTAAGGCCACCAAGATAGCTCACACTTTAGCCCTGAACACAGCTCAGAACTTGAGTACAATCTGTGTACAAATAGATATGTGTATCTCTGAGATACACATATCTCAGAGATACACCCTCACTGAGATACACTACACACTGAGATATCTCAGAGATATCTCAGAGATTGTTTAAAAGCATCGCCTTAGGTATGTCCTCACATGTGATTTGGGTCAGTTCTTTCGCTGATGCGTCAGTGTGAAGGGCCAACCCAAAACTATCATCTGTCGACAAGCAGGTGAACTAGAACCCGAGTTTAAAGCATTCATACACGATTCCTTTTAAGGTAATTTTGGGTAACAGGTACAGGTCTCCGGAGAGTCCCCAAGACATACTGACTCACGAGTACAATCCATCACAATTGCAGATCAATGTCCTGTATTTCTATGTGATTTTTGTTTTTAATATTTCGTGAATATTGGCTCATTTTTTTCATGTCAGACACCTTTGCTTTCCCTGTGACGGGTTGAATCCTACAGCAAGTGGTCTACACATTGTTCCCGCTGTATCTCTCAGTATCCACAATGATACTGAGTACCTACAATCAGTATCTACAATGATATCTACTTGTTACTTGCTATTTTATGTGCGTTGTGATCAACTCATATTTTGCACTTTGTGTATTTCTTCCATTAGTTTTTTTTTTTTCAAACCCTTTTGATATTTGTCAAGCCAAGAGCAAATACTCTAGCTGAATCATTTTGAATCATTTGTCTCTTATGGAAAGGAGAAATCTTTCCCTTCTTTGAGGTTACTCAACTATAATATCTATACTATAATATCCTGTGTTTTATGCTATCCTAGTTATCATTCCAGTGACTGTTTAACACTTTGGCACTCTTCTTTAAGGTACACACAGAGATCACACTAACGTGATGCATCAAATGAACAAAGAACTTCGGTTTCAACCCTTTTAACCCTGTCGTAGCTCAGTCGATTAAGGCAGTGGGATGCTCCCGGACGCAGGTTCGAATCCTCGTCACGGCCCTTGTGGATTTGTTTCTTTGAGGTATGCTTCTCTTCCACACTCTTCCTCTTTATCCAGTCTTTGTTGATACTACAAATATAAACCTCCAATGTAATGATCACTAAACCATATTAGCATTTCATGTCCGATACTCCTAATGATGAGCTTTATTCTTATCTGTGACGATAAGGTTTAGCTTTATTAGCTGACTTCCCCCCCCCCCTCTCTGTGTTTCCTCTTTTTTTTATTTGTTTATTTTTTTTTATCTAGAAGGAGTACCACCTCTGGTGCAAGTGTAGGGACCCATAGCCTCGGAGAAGAAAATAAAGAGTACTCAGAGAAGACCTTTGTTTATTTATATATACAAGAGTTGTTACATTCTTGTACAGCCACTAGTACAAGAGTTGTTACATTCTTGTACAGCCACTAGTACAAGAGTTGTTACATTCTTGTACAGCCACTAGTACAAGAGTTGTTACATTCTTGTACAGCCACTAGTACAAGAGTTGTTACATTCTTGTACAGCCACTAGTACAAGAGTTGTTACATTCTTGTACAGCCACTAGTACAAGAGTTGTTACATTCTTGTACAGCCACTAGTACAAGAGTTGTTACATTCTTGTACAGCCACTAGTACAAGAGTTGTTACATTCTTGTACAGCCACTAGTACAAGAGTTGTTACATTCTTGTACAGCCACTAGTACTTGTTACATTCTTGTACAGCCACTAGTACAAGAGTTGTTACATTCTTGTACAGCCACTAGTACAAGAGTTGTTACATTCTTGTACAGCCACTAGTACAAGAGTTGTTACATTCTTGTACAGCCACTAGTACAAGAGTTGTTACATTCTTGTACAGCCACTAGTACAAGAGTTGTTACATTCTTGTACAGCCACTAGTACAAGAGTTGTTACATTCTTGTACAGCCACTAGTACAAGAGTTGTTACATTCTTGTACAGCCACTAGTACGCGAAGCGTTTCGGGCAGGTCCTTAATCTTATGTTCCCTGGAATACGACTCCGGCGAAGAATCCTTGTTACAACCAAGTACCCATTTTACTGTTGAGTTAAACAGAGGCTACAGTTAAGGATTTGCGCCCAGTAAATCCTCCCCGGCCAGGATACGAACCCAGGACAAAGCGCTCGCGGAACGCCAGGCGAGCGTCTTACCACTACGCCACGGAGACTGCAGACTCCTATGGCATTAAGAGTCAGAAAGTTTCTTTCTGCCACGTCTACAATCTTCATTATCCATGTTTCGTTTAAAGAGCCATTAATATTCAGTCCATTAGGCAATAGATAAAGTCTCCCAATACCAGCAACTTTGCAATCAGTGTATGTGGGCAGTCGCTTCCACCCTGTGTATGATATGTACGCAAGGTAAATAGGTACCTGGGAGTTAGACAGCTGCTACGGGCTGCTTCCTGGTGGGGTGTAACTAAAAAGGAGGCCTGGTCGAAGACCAGGTCGCGGGGACGCTAAGCCCCGAATTCATCTCAAGATAACATCTCAAGATAACCTCTCAAGAGGGTCGTTTCAACACCTTGTATTCTTGTCTCAAGCGTCCATGGATCTCCAAAAGGGCTGCACATCATTCTTTCCACCCACTTTCTCTCCTATATAAATTACCTTTTAAGCAATCTCATTACTTTTCATCGCGTCACTGTTCCTTCATCTGGTTTATTTACCAGTGTATCAGCATTGGTGTCCAGATCTCTTAAACATCCATTGGTATTGAGTCTTCAGTTTGGAGAGCTGCCAGTATGAAGGAACTCACCTGGCTGGGT